GTCCTTTTCCCCAACGACTAGATACTGGTCTCTCAAAGTACAAGAGAAACGGTCGAATGACAATTATTATTGCAAACATCATACCTAATAAAACACCATTTCACTGCAGGACTCGAGTGGCAATCTTGCATTTCAATGAGAACGCTGATCGCTGCCAAGCTGAGACGCAAGAGGGCAAGCCACGCTGGGCGGTGAAAACATCCAAAGCACGCAAGGGCCACCACACAGCTTGTCCCGTCAAGACAGCACCCACCTACAGTAAGTGTGGCATTCATTTTATGGTCGTTGACTTGCTCAATCATTTGATAAAGTGAAAAAAAAGAACCTTCAATTCCAGGCTACGTTCACAAGCTCGTACAGGAGGTGATCGCAATCAATAGTCGATGGCGGTGTCTTGCTACTGCGGCGAAGGCCAGCACAAACATCTTTCCGGCACCCATGACTGCGGCCTTTGCCAGGCCTTCCAAGGAGGAGTTAGTGGAAGCACGGAGGTCCCGCTTCGGCCGTACTCTACAGTAAGGGCACTCTCTAAACTCATGTTTCATTTCCGCAGCCTGAACGAAGTATACCTGCCAGTTAAAATGAGCGTCCTAGTACATCAATGACTCTACTTTCACAGGACTCCCTGAACATCGCCATGCCCTCCATGCAGCCTGCCATCTCATCCTCAAAGCCAGTGGTAAGTGTGGCTGCAACGAAGCGATAACCGGTTTATAAATACGCAACCTTTTCTCTGCAGAAATGCCCCGGACAGTACAAAGTCCACTCATTCGTCCCACAGTCTCGTCATAAAAGCCAGCAGTAAGTGTGGCCGCTGCACGATGCTAGCAGTTCTGTAACTACGCAACCTTTTCTCTACAGAAATGCCCCAGGCAGTACAAAGTCCACTCAATCGTCCCGCAGTCTCGTCATAAAAGCCAGCAGTAAGTGTGGCCGCTGGACGATGCTAGCAGTTCTGTAACTACGCAACCTTTTCTCTACAGAAATGCCCCAGGCAGTACAAAGTCCAGTCATTCGTGCCACAGTCTCGTCATAAAAGCCAGCAGTAAGTGTGGCCGCTGCACGATGCTAGCAGTTCTGTAACTACGCAACCTTTTCTCTACAGAAATGCCCCAGGCAGTACAAAGTCCACTCATTCGTCCCGCAGTCTCGTCATAAAAGCCAGCAGTAAGTGTGGCCGCTGCACGATGCTAGCAGTTCTGTAACTACGCAACCTTTTCTCTGCAGAAATGCCCCAGGCAGTACAAAGTCCACTCAATCGTCCCGCAGTCTCGTCATAAAAGCCAGCAGTAAGTGTGGCCGCTGCACGATGCTAGCAGTTCTGTAACTACGCAACCTTTTCTCTACAGAAATGCCCCAGGCAGTACAAAGTCCACTCATTCGTCCCGCAGTCACGTCATAAAAGCCAGCAGTAAGTGTGGCCGCTGCACGATGTTAGCAGTTCTGTAACTACGCAACCTTTTCTCTACAGAAATGCCCCAGGCAGTACAAAGTCCACTCATTCGTCCCGCAGTCTCGTCATAAAAGCCAGCAGTAAGTGTGGCCGCTGCACGATGCTAGCAGTTCTGTAACTACGCAACCTTTTCTCTACAGAAATGCCCCAGGCAGTACAAAGTCCACTCATTCGTCCCGCAGTCTCGTCATAAAAGCCAGCAGTAAGTGTGGCCGCTGCACGATGCTAGCAGTTCTGTAACTACGCAACCTTTTCTCTACAGAAATGCCCCAGGCAGTACAAAGTCCACTCATTCGTCCCGCAGTCACGTCATAAAAGCCAGCAGTAAGTGTGGCCGCTGCACGATGTTAGCAGTTCTGTAACTACGCAACCTTTTCTCTACAGAAATGCCCCAGGCAGTACAAAGTCCACTCATTCGTCCCGCAGTCTCGTCATAAAAGCCAGCAGTAAGTGTGGCCGCTGCACGATGCTAGCAGTTCTGTAACTACGCAACCTTTTCTCTACAGAAATGCCCCAGGCAGTACAAAGTCCACTCATTCGTCCCGCAGTCTCGTCATAAAAGCCAGCAGTAAGTGTGGCCGCTGCACGATGCTAGCAGTTCTGTAACTACGCAACCTTTTCTCTACAGAAATGCCCCAGGCAGTACAAAGTCCACTCATTCGTCCCGCAGTCTCGTCATAAAAGCCAGCAGTAAGTGTGGCCGCTGCACGATGCTAGCAGTTCTGTAACTACGCAACCTTTTCTCTACAGAAATGCCCCAGGCAGAACAGAGTCCACTCAATCGTCCCGCAGTCTCGTCATGAAAACCAGCAGTAAGTGTGGCCACTGCACGATGCTAGCAGTTCTGTAACTACGCAACCTTTTCTCTACAGAAATGCCCCAGGCAGTACAAAGTCCACTCAATCGTCCCGCAGTCTCGTCATGAAAGCCAGCAGTAAGTGTGGCTGCTGCACGATGCTAGCAGCGCTGTAACCACGCCACCTTTTCTCTACAAAAATGCCCCGGGCAGTAAGTTTGGCTGCAGCAAAGGGTGAACCAGCTTATAAAGAAGCAAGTTTGTTTTACAACACTTGCACCAGGTGAGCACTACAAGGAAAGAATGGCCAATCCTGAAACCACAGACCTGCAGTAAGGATATGTGTTGCTTTGCAATCATTTTTAAGTAGAATTAATACCTATTCCAACAGTTGTGTTTGGATTTCAGGACCACGAGAGATGCAAGCTTTGACGACTGATATCACCTGCCAGTGTGGATGTTAGAGGACAAGGAACACCAGCGAGCAAAGAAAAATATATCAGGAGGCCTCCATTTTTCAATATTTGTTAGCAAGGAGTGAGGCGTAACATTTATTTGAGAAAGTCTGGTCAGTATATTGTCTTCGGTGCAGCTACATTAGGGAAGTAAAGATAATCAGGACCCTATACTTACCAGTGGGCTACCATCTCACGCACTGTTCATAATGTGACCTCGACCGGAGTGTGACATTGACAACCAAGTAGAAGGACAGGGTCTGTCATTGCATGCCAGGAATTTTCAACATTGTCAAAGGAAAAATAGTAGGTTTACTGAAAGTGTAATGTATATTCAGTTGAAGCATACTAATGAACGTGTTCATGGCACGTTTCTTTTTTATAATTGAAGCATCTAATATTCTGGCGTTGACTTTCGATTTCATGTGCAGGCAAGCTGACAGGTTGAAGAGGAGTTACCACGATTACACCACTGCTCGCCTGCGACTTTTTTAATAAATGGGGTTTTCAGCCAGGAGGTAGACTGGCAATGCTGAGTAAAGTTGTGCATAACTCGGATCACTCAGAGTTATTTTTAATGATATCCAAGCAGTACTGCCAGTCTACACCACGGTTTTCCCCCCATCTGAATCATTCTCTTGTTTCACCTTTGTGCGATATCTCTCCTGTGTAGACCGGGAGGTGCACTGCACTCCAGATAGTTATAAATAAATGTTTGGAATAACTTTTCTGTTTCACATGACTCATCAAGTGAAGGTGGAAGCAGATAGAATGTAACCTAAAAATTACCTGTAGGATCCGGTGCATCAGGCATAAAAAATGGATAGAGGGCATTTTCTGCCAATAAAGGAATGGTGAAATCATATTAAAAAAATTGCTTCATGATTGTGCCCTGCAAATAAGCAAGTAGGTCTCGATGTACAGGGTTGTCCACTGTTGGGGTGCACACGGCACTGCGTGGCTGATGCTCGGTGGAGCGCCGCAGTTGTCTGCCTTGTGAATTGGGGCCGATTAGAGATAGCCATTGTCCAAGCCTTTGTTGCGTCGTCTGCTACATGAGCAACCGACGCGGCAATTACTTCGCTATGTGGCAAAGTAATTTTTTCTCGTGCGGGACACTTGCTGTGTGCCGGCTGGTTTACCTTTCTCAGAGGAACAAGTTGTGCAGAGCACTTGCAGATCAAAGTTTCTGAGTATCATGTGACACCAGGGATGTAAGAACAGTGCTTGCTTCGCCTCAGAACATGGCCGCTGTGCCGACACTGTAGCAGATGACGCGGGGGAGGCTTGGCCCCTGGCTCTCCCTGAGCCTGCGCACTAATTGGCCCTAACTTGCAAGGCGCTCACCTGCGGCGCTTCGCGGAGCGCCGGCCACGCAGAGTGGACGACCCTGTACACAACTCATGTTTGTATACCTCCCCAAAGAGAAACTCGCATGACAAAGACATGGCCAATGTGTTTAAAAAAGCAATCGCATTTTATTACCTTCACAACATACATGACGGATTCACATATCTTTAGTGCCTTTCAAAGATCACATGGCACTATTGACACTTTGTCAATCAACGAAGGAATCAATACTTCAACATTTCTAACATCGCCGACAATCTGTCCTATTCCATGAAGCAGAGCTGTAAAAATGCTAATGCTACAACAGTAATCACAACAAGAAAACTCGTAATATGCAGCAAAGCTAACCAAGGGTCCAGTAATGACCCAGGGCTCACCTCAACCATCAGAATCTCCCTTTTCCCAGACACTGGCAACGCCACACAAAGGCAGGCATGGGTGGGTACTAGCCCACGGATTCCTCTTTGTCTGGCCCCTATCCTCTGGCCTGTCCGGCATGGGTGACCCTGGCCGGCATAGCCCAAGAGGGTCATTGGGGCACACAAACCCTTCCACCACAGTAAGGTGGGAATCCGCTTGAGGAGGGGAGGGGGGGGGGGGTGCAGGCAAGTGAAAAAATATCTGCAATGTGGCTATAACTTTTCGTACATTGTTTTTACTGACTTCTGTCTTTGTTTATTTTATTGTTATACTGTTGTGGTCCTGCTATGAAAGTTTGATAATAATTCTTCATTGGTTTTCCTTTTGTTGCGAATAGATCACAGCCCTTCCCTTGGAAGTTTGCACCAAAGAGGAAAAACGAGCAGGGTTCCGGTTTATGTGGTCGGAAGGTGTGGACGCTCAATTCATAGACATTCCGTTGAGCGAGACACTGGTTCCCTGCTCGCTTTTCCTCTTTGGTGCAAACTTCCAAGGGAGGGGCCATGATCTATTTGCAGCAAAGAGAAAACAAATGAATTATGGTCAAACTTTCATAGCAGAACCACAACGGCATAACAATAAAATAAACGAAGACAGAAGTCAGTAAAAACAATGTACGAAACGTTATAGCCACATTGCAGATACGTTTTGACTTACCCTCATATGTTTGAGCCCCCAGAGTGGCTTTCAGTGACTGTACCGAAAGCCAGAATACGAAGTGTCGGGAAACCGGCCCCTGATGGCCTTCACCACACAGGATTGCAGTGGTCGCCTGTTGTGCTGGCCAAGGCGCCGCCACAGCCACAGGACGCACTGCCGGTAGGCGGCGTAGCGGTTGCGCCTGAAAGAATAACCACAATAATTTTCTGTAAGACGCAATATCACAACCTTTTAAAATTGCAGATTCTGGGCTCTACCAGCAGAAACAAAAAAAAAAAGTGCTGCAACGGGCCCTCATGCCTGGGCAGCAACCGATCTAAAATAACCCGGAGCAAGTTCTAGATTGTGTCCATTATTCTTCCCACAAATTCAATTGACAGGTGTGAACATTATATTAGGTTGATAATTGAATCGCAGTAGTGTATACTCCATGTACAAGAAAGTAGCAGCGGTTATGGGGCACAAGTGCAACCATTTTGCGTTGTAGTTCTGCATCGTGTAGTAATGGGCCATAAATCATCACAAAGAACTGTTAGAAAAAGTCAATTCCAACATACCAGATGACCAAAGCCTAACATGCACAACAATATGCATGTCACAAACCCTAAAATATGCGGCAGCACTGTTCATGCTGACTCGATCGAACTACTGCATCTCTTTGTGGCAAATAGATGCAGTAGTTCACGCCAAAGAGACGGGGCATTGCTTTTATCATAATCGCTTGCACGCTATCAATAACGTTTGGATAATTCAGAGAGGGACTTCAATGAAGCTGAAGGAAATTAGCTTTTTTGTTGTTTTTTATCTAGTGTTCAAAGTCTCGACGCACCATTTCGTCTGGAAGCTGCACCTGCCGGAGTGGAATCAAGGGGCAATGATCAAGGGGTACATTCCGCCGTGATCAGCTTTTTTAACGACACAATTGCAAGCCCGTCGCTGCTACCGAGGAGAAAATGGCCATATCAAAACTTCAAAGGCACCCCACGGGGGTCTCGAGTGGCGCAGCAGTCAGAGGCGAAACTTGAGCGCACTACTCCAATGGGTGTGAACGCTGCGTTCAGTAGTGTACCCTGAACGTAGCGTTTATGCATGTTGTGCCAACGTTTGTTGCAAAAGTTACGCCCGTTAGGTCCATAATGTGAACGTAATATTAGTGATAGGACGAATCACCGGAGATTTGGATTCGGACAGATTCATCAGATTCGTCGCTGGTTGCAGACGGCAGTGTGAAAATAGTCGTAAACTTCGCGAATGTGGACAGTTGTGCTTTTCTTAGGTACTGTTACTGCATATAACCAGATTTCGTCTTGCTTATTTCAACATATGGTATGTACTAAACTGTCGTTCTAAACCCTGGCAGGCGCCAAGGTCCAGCTGAGCTGATCGGTGTGGTTGACGTAGGCCTAACCAATGCAGGGTTTCGCTTCCTGTGCGGTTTCGCGGTAATCGGTAAAATGTAGCAAAATGCTGTGTATTATACATAATGTGACGCAACGTACAAGAAATATATACTCAGGCAAGGAAATGTTTAGTCTCCTTCTCTAGAGCTGCGTATGTCTGCACCTATAAGGCGCGAAAACCAGATGAATGTTGCTCGTCACAACTTCGACCGCGTACCGGCACCGGTGGCGAAGAAAAACGTTGCACTGTCGTTTCTCCGTTCTCGTCAGCAATTTTTTTTATACGTGAACTTTATTTGACGAAAAAAAAACACAACACAGGGGTGTCCAACACAACTTCATTGTTTGCAACCAAACACTAACTAAATCGGATAGCATTAACCAGGAGTTTCACATTGTTTCCCGTGTTTCGATAGCAATAGGTGGTATTCACTGAGCCTGCAGGTTCAATTTTGCCAGGGAGCGCCATCTTCGAGGTCGCGGTTTGACTGGCTTGGCTACGCGGTCGTACAATTTTATATCGTTGAAGGAGCTTTCGTTGAACAAGAAAGAAAAAGGTTTATCTCGGGGGCGGGCCATTTTAGTTTTCTTGTTGCCGCCGAGTACCGCGTGTGTAAAGGCTGAACCGCATGTAAGCGAGCGATGAGACGAGACAAGCGACAGCCACGACTGAAGCGACGACGACCCCCTTCGCTGTCGCTCGGTCACTTGCGCGACGAGACAAGCCGCGTGAAAACGACGGGAGCAAGCGACCAAGGCGATCAGCGACGTTTTCTAGAAATCCAAAAACCGAGCGACAACCGACCGTGAGAAATCTCCGTCACTCGTCGCCGCTCGCTAAATCGCTTACATGCGGTTCACGCCTCACTGTCGCTCGTCGCGTAGCTCTGTTTTGGGATATTTAGAAAACTTAGTGCTCATCGCCTTGGTCGTTTGCTCCCGTCGCTTTCATGCGGTTTGCCTCGCGGCAGCGAAGCGGGTCACCGTCGCTTGTCTTGCCGCTCGCCAAATCGCTTACATGCGGTTTTTAAATCGCTAGGGCTAATGAAAAATGCGCCGCATCTTTCATAAGCTGCGCACTCTGTGAGCCGCACGGTATGTCTTTGCACAGGAACGAACACCGAAGGCAGGACGTATGTACGACACAGAGGCGATGGAGCAACGCGGTTACACGGCCGTAGTGCAGCAAATCCGCTAGAGAAAAACAATAAAGAAACTAGCAAAACAAAACAGAGTAATCACACCGTGCTACAAAATCACCAAAGTAGAAAAATCGGTTCTTGCAAGAGCTACCGCCGTGGGCACGGCGTGCGACACGGAGCGCTTCATGGAGCCGAGGGGGCAACGCGGCCGCGGTGAACGAGTCCGATAGCGACAAAAACGAACTAAAACACACAAAAAATACTGCTACGGCGCTTCAAAAGCACCAGAGTATAAGAATAACCCCTAGTTTCGGTTAAAAAGGCTCTTTAAAGTTGTAAAATGCTGCTAAACCACGCTCAAAAGGTCCGGCCATACGACACCCGCGATAGAGAGACCTCGAAGATGGCGACCGTGGTGGGCGATGCCAGCGAACCTAACGAGTGACGTCAAGTGAATGTCACCTATACCTCAGTGGAAACTCGTTGGAGATAATCGAATCGAACATTCTCACTTGTGTGGTTGTGTGCCACTATGGCAGTAATTATGGGCACGAAATGGGTCTGTACCGAAGAGCACCTACGGCATCAATCTCTTACAGCGATGAAAAAATGCGCTTGCATTTCTATGTGTGTGCACCAAGCATGCCTATTGGGTCGTAATTTGAAACTGAAACCAATTTTCCCGTGATGTCTGGCTACCGTTCTCGACAAACATCCACAATAATTTAAACAAAGCGGAACATTTTATTTATTACTGTGATATTATATTACAATATATTTAGTGCACTTTGTAGAATTCAGTGAGTATAATATCACGAAAAGTTGAAACACTCATCAACGTGATTTGACAACCATGGCAACGCTCCGAATGTTTCCAAACTTTTCCAAATCGCTTGGGATTCGTCTACTTTTCCGAATCTTTCCGAACCTTCAGATTCGAATAAAGATCCGTCCCACCACTAGTGATAAGCTAAACTGGAGCTAACCAGATCTCACGAACTTGTTCTGAAGCAAGAGATACTGATGCAGCAATCGAGGTTTTGAACATTTTACTTTCTGATGACCCACAACTTCACAATGAAACACGGCACGAAACGCAAGTAAAACATGCGATGCAACCACTAATGTGACTTCACATTTGAAAAGTAACGTGCGTAACGATCACTGAAACAGATAGTAAAGTAGCTGTCTAACATTCTACTGCTGGCGCCGGTTTGCAAGTTAGCTGAACAGCAAATTACGGCGTTGAACTCACTCGTGCGCTGTTGTGCCCATTCCGTCCTGGCGGTAGTGGCGCATCATGAGGTAGGCGACCTCGAGCACCCCCGGATTCAAGCACACCGTCTCGAAATCCGGGTTGCTTGTTAGGCAGCCAGGTTGCCTCGACGCGGCGGCGGGGTACTCGCGGCAGCAGACGCACTCGTCAGCTGTCGGCATCTGCGCGCAACATCCGCACTGGCACCTTTGAGAAAGAAGATAAGAAGAGAACAAGCGTAAATGACACATACAGCGGTAAAATAAACAGCGTATCACCCACCAGTCGGTGTTGCCGATCCGCCCCGTCTCGTCAAAGGCGCCGTCTTCGTCCTCGGACATGGCCGCCTGCTCGTCCTCAGAGCCCGAACACGACTCCGATGCGCTGCTGTCGTATACATCACACGTCGGAGTAGCGTCGTAGGAAATCATCCCCAGGTCGGCTGTCCGCCGAAGAATGTCAAGCTCTAACGGCGTCAGGTCCTCGAGCGTACAGAACTCCGCCATGATCGAAGCTCGAATGACAAAGAAGTTCGGCCGGAGCGGCTACCTCGGGATCGCTGCGCGACGGAACGTCGTTCAACGCCATTGGCCCGAGATCGTTTTGATATGCGTGCGATGACCAATGAGAGTGGTTTCGTTTTCGGGTGGATCCGAGGTTTGGCGGTCTTCATTTACATTTTTATTAAAGAAATAATCACCGTATGACTATATTTTTTGGTTTTTAGGGATACTTAGGGTGTCTTAATTCAGTTGTCATCATCAAAACACGAACTTAAAAACCGCTTGACTGCCCCTTTAAGAGTGAGTACCAGAATTATAGTGCATGTCAATTTAGATGAAAATAGTTTAATCACTGTACACAAACATTCGCGGCCTGGGGGATCACATGGAAGCATGGCTGCAAGCAGCTTGCTGCAAACAGAAGTCTATATTGCATAGGGTTGCCACCTGTCCGGTTTTTAACCGGCCCGGCCGGTTCTTTAGACAGCAGGCCGGTTGCCGTTCCGTAGGTAAAACAGGCAGTCATTGGCCGGTTTTTTGACAGCCATCGAAGCGCGATTGCTTTTAGCTTATGTTTTTTGGCTTTTTTTAAAGCGACAATTCAAGAACTATGACGATAAATATGTGTCGCCGAAAACAAAAGTATAAATTACGCAAACACCGTGAGGACACGCGATTAGAGAAAGTAAGCGGGCGAGCGCGGCAGGAGAACTCCCTGAGGCAGGGGGAGGAAGGGGGGGAAAGGGGTACGGTCGACACAAAACGAAACGACCTCCGGAAGCGCGGTGGAAAGCTGGAAAGCAGGAAAATGAGTGAAAGCGAGAAGACGCCGGCGTGCAGCTCGGCGACAGGCCCTCCCGATAGCTGAGCCTTCTAGAAGGTGTTGGCTTTATTAACGGTTGTCGGCATTTTGACAAGGACACGCACGGCGCTTCATCCGTCCACTGTGACGGGCAGCGTATGCGCTTTCCCCAAGCTTTCCCCTTCCACTACACATTTTGTAATATTGTTGTTGTTACTCTAGATCCTCGTGGTTTTTTCCTCCCTCTTCGTTCTCCATTTAATTGTTTAAGTGCCAAGACCGGAGAAGCGCGCCGACAAAGGGCTGAGCGTCTCTCGCAGCTGTTGTCACTTTGTTGACTGCCTGTGTCCCCAAAGTAACCTTCCCTTTCCTGCAGACCTCCATAGTTGTTTTTTCTTTTGTTCTCGCTATTCGTCCCCTTCAGAAAGGTTTGCGCGAGCATAAGGGGATATTCAAAGTTAATTGCTTGAGTGCCAAGCCAGACACGCGCCGACGATGTCTAGGAAGGGATGCGCGGATCTCGCAGCTGGGGTCACTTGGTGGCCTGCATGCGTTTAAAAGTGACAGAGAGTGCTGATTCACTGTCTGTGCTACCGTGCACTGCCAGTGGAGCCATCGCAGAGGATCAAAGGAAGACGCCGACATTGTCGTTTTTTCGGCACTTTTTCAGAGCATCGATATGTGCTTCTATGTTCAGGCTTGCTTTCTAATTATTTCCAAATGGCTGCCATAAATTAATTACGTGCCGAGAGACGTGCCTCTCTTTTTCCAATGGGGCGCTAAGCACAGAGGAGGTTTGAGGCGAAACCGAGGGTAAAGCTATCCGTTTTCTGCTATAGTCTATTGGAGACTGGGTCTTGGGGAAGTACCGTGCGCAGCGATGCGATTGGTTTGTACAGAGGCGTTCCCGACGTCATTCACCAAAACTTTCACACTATTTGTCAACCACTTTTTATGCTGTGCCCATAAATACTGGAAGCAAGGTTGCTTCAAGTATACTGATCATTGGAAGAGCGAAAATCCACATCAGTGGTTACGGGCTTCCTTTGCTTGCATCATGAGCACGAATTCTCCGCCTTTGAAACAGCGAAAATTACGTCAGTGCGTGTTCTGAAAAGACTGGAAATCTGTACCCGAGTACGAGAGTTTGCTTCTGCCCGTGGACGACGATGCCACCGCTGCAAGATGTACTCTATGCGCAAGTACGTTTACGGTAAAATTTGATGGCGTCAGCGCTGTCAAGCATCACGCCTCAGCGCAGAAACATAAGAAGAGCCTAGCCTCGAAACAATCAGCTGCGCTCACGAAGTTCTTCGCACCAGCGACTTCTGGCGCAGAAGATAAAGTGACTGCTGCAAAACTGGGCGCCATATTCCACGGCATCAAGCACAACTACAGTTACCCGTCAATGGATTGTGGCAGCAAGTTAGCGTCAAAAGTCTTACCGGAAAAAGACGACGCTTGCAGAATGCGACTTGGAAGAACGAAGATGGAACACCTCATGAAATATGTGCTGGCGCCTGATGCAGTGGAGTGCATAGTCGAGAAACTTCGCCCAGCAGGCCGCAACCTTTCGTTTGCTCTCTCCACGGACACCTCTAACAAGGGAAATAGAAAACATTTCCCCATCGCCGTGCGCTTCTACGACGTGAATGGTGCCGGAATAACGGACGCTCTCATCGACTTCTCTGAGCAGGCGGAAGAGACTTCCGGCGGCATCTTCGAACTCTTGGCAAGAAGTTTGGAGAACGTGGGTCTTCCTTTAGAGCGAGCTGTAGCGTATAGCGCGGATAACACTTCAGTGAATTATGGAAAACATAACTCCGTTTTTCAAAATATGCAGAATGATCGGCCGCACTTATTGAAGGTCAATTGTAATTGCCAAAAAGTGCAGAACGCTGCTCAGCACGCAGGGAAGTCTTTAAAGCTTGATGCGGAAACCCTTGCACTAAAGGTCTTCAAAAAGTTTTCTTCTAGTTCGAAATTTGTATAGGGATTGAAAACATTTTTTTTTTTTACTTCTGTGATCAGGAATATACCAAAGTGCTTTGTCATATTTCTGTACGTTGGTTAAGCTTGTTTACGGCCTTAGACAGAGTGATTCAAAACTCGGCTCCCATCAAGCCGTAATTTCTGAGTCGGGGCCAGTAGGAGTGCGAAAAAATAATCTCGATATTTATTGGTAACCAAGCCGATGGACGTTCGGAGTGTATCACGCTTCCGAAGTGCTATCTGCACTTCATCCACTCGTTCCTTTCAATGTTTCATTCAACGATCCTCACCCTCGAAAAGAGTCACCTGGAGCCGACAGAACTTTACGCTGTAATGACTAAGCTCAGGAAGCAGCTGATTAACCGGAAGGATGATATGTTCTTCGGTGTCAAGGCTAATCAGGGACTTGAAACTCTTCCGGGCGGACAACCTGCAACGCTGGACGTCGTGAATTTTTATGACAGGGCCCTTGCGTACCTTGGGAAGTGGTTCGACTCCGAAAATTCCCCATTTAAGAGGCTCGCCGAATTGGATCTACGCAAAGGTGCACCCAGCATGTCACTCGTAATGAATGCAGGGAGCTTTTTGGGATTAACGAAGAGGAAGGCGTTGAATTGTACTCAGAGCTTTGTCTCTTGAGGGATACTCTCCCTGGACTTCTAGGACATGACCAGAAATCGAGCTCGATCTGGCTCAAAGTCTTGAAAGAGGTCAGGTGCCCCCCTTTGCAGAACCTAATAGAGCATGCTTTCTCCATTCCATGAAGCAACGCGTTTTTTGAACGCGTCTTTAGCGTGATGGGGAACTTGTTGACGGATGAGAGATATCAGCTAAGCGTCGCAATGGTTGAAGCGGAGCTCTGTGTGCGCTATAATTTGGTGTACAACTGTGAAGATCTTCTAAAGATGGCGAGAGAAAACACGCAGCTCATCCGAGCACCTAAGTCGAATTCGAAATATACGTTCAAGTTCCGTAAATAGAAAAAGGCGAGCATATAAAACGTTACCTATTTTTTTGTTTTTCTCCGTTGTTTTGTGTATTGCATACTATTGCGCGTGTGTGTATATATGATAATATCCAATACATTGTCGCGTACGCGCTATATACTCTTTAACGGACGTAATATGCCACTGGTTTAGTGGATTTATTCACGAAGAGCATTTTATGGATGAAGTACGTGCGGTTATTTTTCAGTGCCGTACATACGCTCGTGTTACGCCAGTAATTGCAATTTCTCGAAAGGGGTCTGCGAGTGGCGAGGCAGCATGGCATTTCTTTTTGAGTTGGTAGTATATTGTTTTTATGGCTGTAATAAGCGGTTATGTGAATTTTGTATTTTTGTATCTGTACTATGTTGTTTCTGTGACAAGACGTCATGGGAAATTTGTATTTTCTCAACATAGATTAAGAAATGTCTTATTTCAAAGAGGCGCTTCTGATTATTTGATCACATAGAATATTGTCCCCTTTGTACGTAGCTAACGTGTGCATGTGGTTTTTTGTCGTGCTACCAAACTGAAAACGGGCACCAGACTTTGTCAAGCTGCCTCTGGCAGCTATTTGTTTGGGGGCACTGTTGGCTGAAGGCCATAGAAAAGGTTGATTTGATTTCAAGAGACGTGATCTACTCGTCCGAAACTCCGCGCTGGCGACTTTACAAAAAATATGGATTTGCGCTCAGTCTACACGAGCGTAATGCTTTTTGAGAGCAGCAACAAAATCCTGAGTTACTTTTAGTACAAATGTTATTTCATTCACTGATATTTTTATGCCAACCAGCAGACTACTTGGTTCTCTATCTGCTGTGCGGGGCAAGTTAGTCAGAAATGTCTTTATTTTTCACTAAAAAGGGCTTATAATCGCACATATTATGGAGCTCAGTGCTGTGTATTTCTGTACATGTGCATTATACTAATTCCTCTCCAGCACTGCCTGTCAAAAACGAACATGGCATTTTCTTTTCAACACCATTGCAATATAACCCCCCCCCCCCCCGTCGAAGGGCCGGTTTCCTTTTTTTTTCGGGGAAAGGTGGCAACCCTAATATTGCATTGCACTGGTGTGAAAAAGTATTAGGTATTTTTGTCTTATTTTTCTGCAAAATAATAAACAGCGTTTAGAAACCGAACAATGGGCATTTTTGAGGAGCGAAAAATACATAAAAAATAATGAGACAAGCTGAGCAATACGAGGCGCCC